GGGGGAGAAGCAGAGCATCGAGGAGGCTCGAGGGTCGTGGAGGATCGAGGATCGATGGTCGATGGTCGAGGCGCAGAGAGGGTCGGGAGGGGGGGCGGGGTGCGGATGAACACTTCAGATCGTTGGCTGCCTGGGGAGACCGCGGCCCCTGGCCCTCGCCCTTGGCCTCGGCATCTCCCCGTATGTACGTATGTACGTATGTGCGCATGTACGTGAGCACGTACGTACCTACGTATGTATGTAGGATGTGTATGTGTATGTAATAGGTCATTCGGTTCATATGTATATACGTATATAATACCGGAGAAAAAGCCCCAATCGAAGCCCTTTTAGGGCTATATGGCTATGGGGCTATTGGGCTACAAGGCGATGGGGCTATGGGGCTATAGGACCATAGGGTTTTTGGGCTCGATGGATAGGGCTATGGGGCCATGGGGTTATAGGGCTATAGGCATATAGAGCTATAGGGCTATCGGGCTATGGGGCTCTGGGACTATGGGAGTGTAGGGCTATAGGATTATAGGGCTGTGAGTATACAGGGCTATGGAGCTGTAGGGCTATAGGACCATAGGGCTATAGGTCTATAGGGTCATGGGGCTATAGGGCTACGGGCATACATAGAGCTATGGGGTTATAGAACTATAGGACTGTAGGGCTATGAGGCTAGACAGCTATAGGGCTATCCGGCTTTAAGGCTACAAGGCTATGTGGCTACAGGGCTACGGGGCTATCGGGCTATGATGCTATAGGACTATAGGGCTATTCGGCTATAGGGCTATAAGGCGTCCAGTCACCCGGGCGGGCCGCGGAAATCTGCGGCCAAGCTCACCTAACCAGATGATACTGAAGAAAAACCAGATCAAAGTCTTTTTAGGGCTATGGGGCTATAGGGCTATGGTGCTATGGGGCTATAGGGCCGTAGGGCTTTAGGTCTATAGGGCTCTAGGGCTATAGGGCCATAGGGCTATGAGGCTATTGGGGCTCTGGGGTTATGGGGCTATTGGAGCTCTGGGGCTATAGGGCCATTAGGGCTATGAGTCTATAGGGCTATGGGGCTACAAGGCTATAGGGCTATAAGGCTATAGGGCTATAGGGCTAGAGGGCTCTAGGGTTATCGGGCTATAGGGCTATTGGGCTGTAAGGCTATGGGGCTATAGGGCTGTGGGGCTATAGGGCTATAGGGCTGTTGAACTATAGGGCTTTAAGCCTATAGGGCTATGGGGCTATAGGGCTACAGAGCAATGGGGCTATAGGGCTATATAGAGCTATAGGGCTCTAGCGCTGTTATAAGGCGATCGGGCTATAGGGCTATAAGGCTATACGGCTATGGGGCTATAGGGCTATATGGCTGTGGGGCTATTGGGCTATACGGCTATAGGGCTAAAGGGCTATACAACTATAGGGCTAAAAGGGCTGTAGGGTACTCGGGTACCCGGGCACCTGGGCACCCAGCACCTGGGCAGGCCGCGGAAATCGGTGGCAAAGCTCACCCAACCATTTGAATCCGCTAGGACCCCCACAGAGGCAAACTTTGATTCGAGAATGCATCCGCTAGTACCCCTACAGAGGCGAGCTCCGATTGGGGAACGTAGGTCGATATGCATATACGTATACATGTACGTATGCATACATGTATGTAGTAGTTTATGTGTGTATGTATGTATGCATGTATTTCTGCATACGTGTATGCATGTACGCATGTATGTTTATAAATGCATATGCATATACGTGCGTATGCACGCATGCATGTTTGCCTGACTACATGCGTGTACACATAATTGCATGCATGCATGTATGTATGTGTGTGTGTGAGTGAGTGTGTGTGTGTGTGTGTGTTTGTGTGTGTGTGTGTGTGTGTGTGTGTGTGTGTGTGTGTGTGTGTGTGTGTGTGTGTGCGTGCGCATCTATGTGTTTATGTATGCATAGATGCATGCATGCATTTATGCACATATGTATATACATGCATGTAACTATGTTTGCATGCATACATGCACGTATGTGTGTATGCATGTCCGGGTGTATATGTGTAGAAATGCATGCATGCATGCATGCATGCATGCATGTAGACATGCGCATGCATGTATGGACATATACATGCATGCATGCATGCATGTAGGTATGCACGTGCATGTTTGTACCTATGGATATAGGTATACACGTACATCTATGTGTGTATGTATGTATGTATGTTTGTAGGTGTATATGCATATGTATGTGTATACGTATAGGTACATGTATGTGCGTATGTTTACATCTGTGTTTATATATAACAGTCATATCCGTGTGTATGTATATACCTATGTCTGTTTGTGTGTATGTACGTATACAAGCGTGCGTGCACATGCATTTATGTATATGTGTGTAGCTGTATCTATGCTTCGATGCATGTGTGCATACTTGTAGGTACGTAACTATACATGTATATATGTGTGTACATACATATATATATACACATATATATATATATATATTCTCATGCGCACCTCTCCGAGGGAATAGAGATCATAGGCGATTAATTGAAGGCCGCGCCGCGTCAGCGATTTTTCTGGCCGTTTCGCTAGGGACATCCTCGAAATTCTGAAAATCGGTGGCACCCCTCACGCAGATCGTGACGTCAGGGTCCAAAAACACATGGCAATTTCAGCATTCTAACATAAAAACTTCAAAACCATAATGTAATTCCAATGATTTTGAACCCGATTCTCACAGAAAGGCGGTTTCGCCTGAGACATCCTCCGAAAATCGAGCCCCGACGTACCTTCTGGTACCCCAGATCCTGCCTCGGAGCCTTCTGGGGGCCTCCTGGAACCTCCTGGGGTCTCCTGGGGCCTCCTTGGGCTTGCGGTCTCTTGGTCGGGCCTCCTGGAGCCTCTTGCGGCCTCCATGGACATCCTTGCAACTTCGAGCCCAGACGTACTGGGCCTCCATGGACATCATCGCAACCTCGATCTCAGACGACCCCTCCTGGAGCCTCCTAGAATATTTTCTGGCATCCTGGTCGGGCCTCCTGAGGCTTCCTGGGGGCCCGTGGTACACACATCGCAAGGTGTGGCAACCCCGCTTGCGCTCGAGTGCGACCCCGCTATTGCACTTCACTCCCAGCAGTTATCCTGGGCGCCCTGGCGGCGCCGCGCCGGCTTCCCCTTCTCCATCTCCTTTCAGTTTTTCCCGGAAAGGGCGGGGGCCCAGGGTTCTCTTTTAGCTGTTTACCCCCGGAATCGACGAGTTTGAAGGAGGCTGGCGGAATTATTTTTGAGGATGTCTTGAGCGAAACGCTTGTTTTTCAGAATTTGTTGAGGACGTCTCGAGCGAAACGCTTGTTTTCTGTTATAGGTTGTCCTCTCCTGGGGACCAGAATTCAGAGGATCTCTGAAATGAAATGCTTGTTTTCACGTGCCCAGGTTTTGAGGGTTTCTCGAGCGAGACGCTTGATTTCACGCCTCCAGGTTGCCCGGACAGATGTCTAGCATGAGGATTTGTTGAGGATGTCTCGAACCAGAGGCTTGTTTTCACGTGTCCAGGTCGCCCAGGCGGATGTCTATCATGAGGATGTGTCGAGGAAGTCTCGATCGAAACGCTTGTTTGCACGTGTCCAGGTTGCCCAGGCGGATGTCTAGCATGAGGATGTGCTGAGAACGTCTTGAGTGTCCAGGTCGCCCAGGCACAGCACAGCCCTCGGCACGGTACATCAATATCGATACCCTTAGCATTGCAGCCTGGCATGTTGCCTGGCACGTTCCGCGGAGCGTCCCGTGGCGAGTCCCCCTGGCACGTCGCGCGGTGCACGTCCATTGGCACGTTCCGTAGCGCGTCCCCTTGGCACGTCCCGCGGTGCGTGCCCATGACATGTTCCCTGGCACGTCGCCTGGCGCGTCCCTTGGGGAGTTCCGCGGCGCGTCCTCCTGGCATGTCCCCCTGTCGATTAGTTCTGGGGCAGCTACCATCTGCTCAGGCAGCTCAAGCTTAAGATCCAGATCAGTTCGGTCAGGACTCGGATGCAAAGAGAACTCGATCCACAACGCTATATAAAGCACAATCGCGGCATGACACATCGCAGTTCAGCACGGCCAGCACAGCGCAGCCGTCGGCACGGTACATCAGGATCGATACATTCAACATTGCATCTTGGCACGTTCCTTGCCGCGTTCCTTGGCGAGTCCACCTGGCACGTCGCGCGGCGCATCCCCTGGCACATCCCGCGGCACGTCCATTGGCACGTTCCGTAGCGCGTCCTCTTGGCACGTCCCGCGGTGCGTGCCCATGGCACGTCCCCTGGCACGTCGCCTGGCGCGTCCCTTGGGGAGTTCCGCGGCGCGTCCTCCTGGCATGTCCTCCCTGTCGATCGGTTCTGCGGCAGCTACCATCTGCTCAGGCAGCTCGAGCTTAAGATCCAGATCAGTTCGTTCAGGACTCGGATGCCATGGAGGACTCGATCCACAACGCTATATAGAGCACAATGGCGGCATGGAACATCGCAGTTCAGCACGGCGTAGCACAGCACAGCCCTCGGCACAGTCCATCAAGATCGATACATTCAGCATTGCATTTGCCCGTCGCCCAATCAAGTGTCTTTGAATCGTTGCCATGCCTTACATTTCTATATTCCTTTCCGGGTTCGTGGGTCGATCATGTTTGTATGAGCCTGGGCACACACGTGCCACTTGTATGTATGTGTATGTGTGTATGCATGTATCTATGCCTATACACATGTTTGTATGTATGTAGCTATGCCTGCATGCATGCATGTATGTATACATGTTTGTATGGGTGTATGTTGTATCTATGCATGCATGCATATATACTATTCACGTGCGTACAGCTATACACAATTTTATCGATTCAATATATATATATATATATATATATGAAAATGTGTATGTGTCTGAGGCTCCGTGGGCCCGAACATAGGCCCCAATGGCCGACATCGATGGAACATGCCCCGGTCGAACAAAAAAACACATCGTCGGCCTGGGAACCTCGACGGGGCGCTGGCTCGCCGCCATACGGCCAGCGCGGCGCCCCCGCCGCAGGCCCGGCACCGCCCCTCGACGAGCACCTCGAGGGCGGCGCCAGCGGGCTCGCCGCCGCACGGCTGCCCTTCCACGGGGGGGGGGGGGGCAGCAAACCGCCCGCGCGCGCGCTCGCCGCCGCTCCTCCCGAGGTGCCGAGGGGGCATGGGGAGAACCTCCCCACCCCCCTCCTTCCTCGGCTCCCCCCTCGCTCCTCGCCCCCTGCTCCTCGCCCCGTCCTCCTCGTCCCCCGTCCTCTTCCTCCCCGTCCTCCTCGCCTCCCTGCTCCTCGCGCCGCCCCCAGTCCCAGAAAGCTGCGCGCAGCCTTGGCGCCCGAGCCGATGCAAGAACAGGGCGTCGCTCCCTGCTCTGTTTGGCATGTGTTTTCGGTCATAGCTTCAGGTCGGGCCTTTCCCCCCGCAGGGGAATTTTTGGGGACAAATTAGAAATTCTTTAAAACACATTCCCCGAATGTTCCCAAATAGGCAAACAATGGTCACCAGACTTTTTGTTGTATGTGACTATTTTCGAATGTTCGCCCTGTAGAGGGACATGCCCGACTTCATCATAGCTCGAGTAGGAGACTGATCTCAGGACTCTCGAGACTCTGGACCGATGCCTTCGAGGCTGCTGACTCCATCGAGGTGATCGAAAGCCCATGCAGCTGCTCTGGATCACGCGATCAAGTCCGTAAGCCGCACGCGCCCACAGATCCCCCCAACTCTCGTTCTCCCCGTCCTCCTCGGCCCCCCCGCCCACCCCCCCCGCGCCCCCCCCCCGCCTCTCCCTGCTCCTCCCCGTCCTCCCCGGCCCCCTGCTCCCCGCCCCCTCCCCCCCCCCAAGAAGGCTGGGCGGCGGGGGGCGCCGCGGAGGAGGCCGGGGCGCGCCGCGAGGGCTTCGTCACCGAGGTGCGGCGCCGTCGCCGACGCCGCCGCCCGATCTCCGGCGACAAGCTTCGGGGATCTCTCCTGACCGGGGTCGATCCAGGCCCGGGTCAGCCAGGCCTCGCAGGAGCCTGCAGGCTCCTGCCAGAGCCTGCGCCCAAGCCCAGGTCGACGCGAGGGATCCTGCAAGAGATCCTGCAGGCTCCTGCGCCCAAGCCCAGGTCAGTGGGACCCTGGCGCTGCGAGATCCTGGAAGATCGGGCGCTCTGGCTGACCCCCGTTTGCGTTGACCCCCGTCTCAAAGCTCCCAAATGATTTTCCTGGAAAGGGCTCCGGCCCAAAACTCTCTTGTCGTGGGTTTATCCCCACCCGGAGTCGACTTGAAGAGGGCCGGCGAAATTATTCTGTGAGAATTATCCCGGCAAAGCAACCTAACAGCGATGTGTAGAAGCATATATGGAAGCATTCCCCTTAAGATTCAGATGAGAATCCAGTTGTCGCATGCAGTCGCAGTGCAGTCGCAGTCACAGCCTCAGCCTGCCTCAGTATCAGCCTGCCTCAGCCTCAGCCTCAGCCTGCCTCAGCCTCAGCCTCAGCCTGCTTCAGCCTCAGCCTCAGTCTGCCTTCAGCCTCAGCCTCAGCCTCAGCCTGCCTCAGCCTCAGCCTGCATCAGCCTCAGCCTCAGCCTCAGCCTCAGCCTCAGCCTCAGCATCAGCCTCAGCCTCAGCCTGCCTCAGCCTCAGTCTGCCTTCAGCCTCAGCCTCAGCCTCAGCCTGCCTCAGCATCAGCCTGCCTCAGCCTCAGCCTCAGCCTCAGCCTGCCTCAGCCTCAGCCTGCCTCAGCGTCTGCCTCAGCCTGCCTTCAGCCTCGGCCTCAGCCTCAGCCTGCCTCAGCCTCATCAGCCTCAGCCTGCCTGCCTCAGCCTCAGCCTCAGCATCAGCATCACCATTCTCAGCCTCTGCATCAGCATCAAAATGCGGCCCGGGAATGGAGTTCTGGGAACTCGAAGAGCACGAAGTGGCCTACAGTTGGCTCCGGGCATTCAAAATGTGGCCCAGGAATGGAGTTCTGGGCACTCGAAGAGCACGAAGTGGCCTACTGTTGGCTCCGGGCATTCAAAATGTGGCCCGGGAATGGAGTTCTGGGAAATCGAAAAGCACGAAGTGGCCTACAGTTGGCTCCGGGCATTCAAAATGTGGCCCGGGAATGGAGTTCTGGGAACTCGAAGAGCACGAAGTGGCCTACAGTTGGCTCCGGGCATTCAAAATGTGGCCCGGGAATGGAGTTCTGGGCACTCGAAGAGCACGAAGTGGCCTACAGTTGGCTCCGGGCATTCAAAATGTGGCCCGGGAATGGAGTTCTGGGAACTCGAAGAGCACGAAGTGTGTGACTGTTGCATCCGGTTATTCAGAATGTGGCCTGGGAATGGGGTTCTGAGAGGTCGACGAGCACGAAGTGTGTGACTGTTGGTGAAAAACGAGCCCGGCACAGGCCCGGCCGGCAACTCCCAACGCCTGCCCGGACCCCCCTGTGGAGTGATCTGTGAGCTCTTTTGAGTCAACTAGAAACCTATCAGTCTTCGCTGTTAGGTAAAAAGTGATGTTAAACAGGGCCGGCGAATCAGAATTTGAGGACGTCCCGAGCGAAACGAAGGTTTTTGGAATTCCCATCGAGAAAACATTATCCCGGCAAAGCAACCTAACAGCGATGTGTAGGAGCATATCTGGAAGCATTCCCCTTAAGATTCAGATGAGAATCCAGTTGTAGAATTCTGTTGTTCTCGCAGTCGTAGTCGCATTCGCGATGACAGTCGCAGCGGCAACGGCAGTCGCAGTCAGCCTCAGCCTCAGCCTGCCTCAGCCTCAGCCTCAGCCTGCCTCAGCCTCAGCCTGCCTCAGCCTCAGCCTCAGCCTCAGCCTCAGCCTGCTTCAGCCTCAGCCTCAGTCTGCCTTCAGCCTCGGCCTCAGCCTCAGCCTGCCTCAGCCTCAGCCTGCATCAGCCTCAGCCTCAGCCTCAGCCTGCCTCAGCATCAGCCTGCCTCAGCCTCAGCCTCAGCCTGCCTCAGCCTCAGCCTCAGTCTGCTTCAGCCTCAGCCTCAGTCTGCCTTCAGCCTCGGCCTCAGCCTCAGCCTGCCTCAGCCTCAGCCTGCCTCGGCCGCAGCATCAGCCTGCCTCAGCATTCAAAATGTGGCCCAGGAATGGAATTCTGGGAACTAGAAGAACACGAAGTGGCCTACAGTTGGCTCCGGGCATTCAAAATCATGCCCAGGAATGGAGTTCTGGGAACTCGAAGAGCACGAAGTGGCCTACAGTTGGCTCCGGGCATTCAGAATGTGGCCCGGGAATGGAGTTCTGGGAAATCGAAGAGCACGAAGTGGCCTACAGTTGGCTCCGGGCATTCAGAATGTGGCCCGGGAATGGCGTTCTGGGAAATCGAAGAGCACGAAGTGGCCTACAGTTGGCTCCGGGCATTCAAAATGTGGCCCGGGAATGGTGTTCTGGGAACTCGAAGAGCACGAAGTGTGTGACTGTTGCATCCGGTTATTCAGAATGTGGCCTGGGAATGGGGTTCTGAGAGGTCGACGAGCACGAAGTGTGTGACTGTTGGTGAAAAACGAGCCCGGCACAGGCCCGGCCGGCAACTCCCAACGCCTGCCCGGACCCCCCTGTGGAGTGATCTGTGAGCTCTTTTGAGTCAACTAGAAACCTATCAGTCTTCGCTGTTAGGTAAAAAGGTAAAGTCAGCATTTTCGTTTGTTGCGGATCTCTCGGGCGAAACGCTTGTTTTACATAATGTGTTGAGGATGTCTCGAGCGAAACGCTTGTTTTGGAGACTTCCGAGAACCTGGACGCCCAAGGATGCCCCAGGGGGCCCTGGGAGTGCGGACGCAGCTATGTTTACCAGGGATCGTGGCCCAGGGAGAGCGGACGCAGCGTAATTTACGAGGGATCGTGGCCGTGGGAGCGCGGACGCAGCCTAATTTACGAGGGAGCGTGGCCCTGGGAGCGCGGACCCAGCGTACTTTGCAAGGGATGGTGGCCTAGGGAGAGCAAACGCAGTGTAATTTACGTGGGATCCTGGCCCTGGGAGGCCGGACACATTGTAATTCACGATGAACCGTGGCCCTGGGAGCGCGGGCGCAGCGTAATTCACGAGGGAGCGCGGCGCTGGGAGCGCGGACTCAATGTAGTTTACGGAGGATGGTGGCCCAGGGAGAGCAGACGCAGTGTAATTTACAAGGGATCGTGGCCCTGGGAGCGTGGACACAATGTAATTCACGAGGGAGCGTGGCCCTTGGGGGGCTGACGCAATGTAATTTACAAGGGATCGTGGCCCTGGGAGCGCGGACGCAATGTAATTTGTGAAGGATCCTGGCCTTGGTGGGGCGGACACACGGTAATTCAGAAGGGAACGTGACCCTGGTAGCGCGGACACAATGAATTCACAAGGGAGCGTGGCCCTGGGAGCGCGGCCGCAGCGTAGTTTACTTGGGATCGTGGCCCAGGGAGAGCGGACGCAGCGTAATTTACGAGGGGTCGTGGCCTTGGGAGCGCGGACGTACCGTAATTTATAAGGGATCGTGGCCCTGGTATCTCGGACGCACCGTAATTTATGTTGGGTCGTGGCCCTGGGAGCGCGGAAGCTTTGTAATTTACAAAAGGTCCTGGCCCTGGGTGAGAGACGTCCTGCGGCACGTCCCCAAACGCGTTCCCTGGCACGTTCCCTAGCGCGTCGCCTCACACGTTCCCTGGGCACGTTCTGTGGCGCGTCCCGTGGCGAGTTCCCTGGGCACGTCGCGCGGCGCGTCCCCTGGCACGTTCCGTAGCGCGTCCCCTTTGGCACGTCCCGCGGTGCGTCCTAATTGCACGCCCCCTGTCACGACCCCTGGCGAGTCCCTTGGCACGACCCCTGGCGCGTCCCTTGGGACGTTCCGCGGCGCGTCCCCCTGCCATGCCCCCCTGTCAATTAGCTCTGGGGCATCTACTATGTGCTCAGGCAGCTCGAGCTTAAGATCCATATCAGTTCGGTCTGGACTCTGATGCAAAGGAGGACTCGATCCACAACGCCAATGAGAACAATCGCGGCATGGCACATCGCAATTCAGCACGGCGCAGCACAACACAGCCCTTGGCACGGTACATCAAGATCGATACACTTAACCTTGCAACCTGGCACGTTCCCTGGCACGTTCCGTGGCGCGGCC